AATTGTTAGAAAAAAGTCACGATTATGTATACATTAAGACTTTTTCAAAATCACAATTATGTATACATTAAGACTTCTATTTCAGACAGTATGTTGCACTAAATAACCTGAAATTTGCCATTCATTTATTCATTCAATATTTCTTAAAACTTGTTTTAGGCCCATGTTTCCCAGGAGGTCAGATGTAACGGAACATGTCCACTGCACGTGCTCAGTGTGAACTTTTCCTTTTCCACACACTAGTCTTAAATACAGCTAAGCCAAGGAACCAACAATAAACTCTCGTAATAAAACTACTGAAGTAGCAGCACAACCTTCCTAAAATTTGATGTTATTTCAGTCAATTTAATCATAATTTCCTTTTTACAAATTCTAACCTTATGTTGCATTCTTCCAAATGTGTAGGAAAATATGGCACTCATTCTACTGTCATAATCTATTTTCCTTAACATAATAGCAATTTTTAGGTTTGATTACAACATTTGCATGCTAGTCCAGTTTTTTTACTTCAGTCTTTAAAAATATTTTCTATTTAATAATACAATGAAAGCTATGCAATCAGTCTATCTCTCACTAAAGTCAGACATATTTAATGAAAGAAAACTACACATTATTATCAAAATCATGGTTTTTAACTCAGCAGGTATGTAAATTTTCCTTGAAATGAATTAAATCCATTTACAAATATGGATTATTTTTAAGATGAAAGAACTTATTCATAGACCATAAGTACACTTCCTCTCTCAAATGTTAGAATTGTATGCAGTATATTGACAGTTTTTACCATCACCAAATATACTCAAAACAGGTTAGCCTAGTGTTTTGTATATAGTTGTATGCCACATAACGATGTTTTGGCCAACAACAAACCACATATATGAAGGAGGTCCCATAAGATTCTAATAACATATTTTTACTGTACATTTTATATGTTTAGGTAAACAAATGCTTACCATGGTATCCTAATTACCTACAGCATTCAAAACAGTAGCATACTGTATAGGTTGGTAGCATAGGAGCAATAAGCTGTACCATATAGCTTAGGTGTGAAGTAGGTTATATCATGTAGGTTTGTGTAAAAATATACTCTAAGGCAGTGGTCCCCAATCTTTTTGGCACCAAGGACCGGATTTTGTAGAAGACAACTTTTCAATGGATGGGGGCCGGGAGGGAGTAGTTTGGTAGTTTCAGGATGAAACTGTTCCACCTCAGATGATCAGGCATTAGATTCTCATAAGGAGTGCACAACACAGATTCCTCGCATATGCAGTCCACAGCAGGGTTTGTGCTCCTATGAGAATCTAATGCCACCCCTGATCTTGACAGGAGACGAAGTTCAGGCAGTAACGCTTGCTTGCCTGCCACTCAACTTCTGCTGTGTGGCCCAGTTTCTAACAGGTCACAGACCATAATTGGTCCATGGCCCAGGGATTAGGGACCCCTGCTCTAAGGTGTTCACACAATGATGAAGTTGTCTAGCAAACAATGAATTTCTCAGAACACATCTCCATCATTAAGCAATGCATGACTATTTATAAATATATTTTCATATACTCAAATAAGACATAGGAGCTGTTAGCTGCAGCTAGTTAGCTTTTTGACTATCCTTTTATTTCTTGTATTATGGCAGGAATATTTTTCAATACTCCATCAGTTCATGTGAACACACTGAGTTCTTTATCAAATATGCAGATGTAGCTAGTGTAAATATGCTCATTACCCAACTCATTACCCCTTTTCCTGGGCAACCAGCTCTACTGTGCTCTCTAGCCTCCTTTGTAGTTAGGTGTGGCTATGTTAACTTAGTTCTAGGTAATAAAATGTGGCCAGAAGTGAAAGACATCATTACTAGACCCTGTCCATAAACCCCTCCCATCCACTATCTAGCTGTCAATGCCCATGTGATGTTGAAAGCCACCTGCTAAAGATGGCATATCAATGAATGCCAAGATGTCCAAACGACTGTGTGGAACACAGTCCTCCTAAACCTTAATGCTACCATCCCTAACACACAAATATACCATTGTGAACCCATATTGCCATTATGTGAGCTGAAAATAAACTCCTACAGTGTTATATCTGACAATTCTAAGGTTTATTTAATAACAGCAATTATTCTATTATAATCAATACAGGAAGTCATGCATCAAAATGGAGTATTGCTATGAGAAAAACCTAAACTATGTGTCACTTTTGGCCAGGCAATAAATAATAAGAAACTAATGTCTGAGGCTAGAAAGATGGAGATTCTTGGTATATAGTGGCAAAGCATTTGGTAAAACTATTGCTTGCAAAAACTAGAAGAGAAACAGAAGTAATATATACCATCACTTTGAAAGGGAAATAAACTTTACCATATTAGAGCCATTACACATTCTGGGATTTTTTGTTACAGTAGATATTTCCACTAATACAAACACTGTGAGGTACCTTTGTAAAATTGAAGCAAATCATTTCTGCTCTTCGGTACAATTTTTGGTAACATCAGAGAAAATTACCTTGGTGAAAAAATCTTGAAAATTTCAAATCAATGAGCATTTCACTCAAAGTCAGTATTGCGGGTATTAAAAGCATGAGTAAAGGGTTCCAAGGAGTCTAGTCTTGAATGCCAACTCTCCCATTTTCTAGTTTTATAGCCTTGAACGAATCATTGTATCATCTTAAACCTCCTTGTTCTCATGTATAAATTGAGATTAAGTTGCCCTAATTTGTAGGACTGCCATAACAATATTATAAAATACACAATTTGCTTAAGGCAAAGTCAGGCATTTAATAAAGTGCTTAGTTTATTCTTTCCTCATCCTATGATGTTTTCAAAGTACTAAATGAACCTTAGAAAACTAGGAGTTTGTATTGATATTTAAGGTAACTTTAGAAGAGAACATTTAATTTAGTAAAAGATTCCATCAACTCCAATGAACATTAAAAAAAAAAACCATAATACAAGGACAGATTAATAGGGTCAGGGAGAGACAAAGAGTCAGTCTTCCCAGCACATTTCAGTGAAAGCCTCTCCAGGCATTATTTCCTCCTATCTGTTGATTCCTCTGCACCTCCTCAATCTCATTCTCCTTTGCCAAGTGCTGAAAGCCTAAAAGGCAGTGACAAAATAGATAATAAATCAGATATTTCTTTGTCAATGGAGATTATTTGTTACTACATTCCCACAACTTGAACAAAACTAAAGATAGATCTTGCTACTTTTTCAAGGTAATCTCACATTATTAAGGGAAGCATTCCAGTCAGCTTAACTGATAATGATAGCAATACTTTTATGTTTTATATTGCTAAGCATTCTATAAAGTTCAAAGCACTTTCAAATCCATTTTCTCATTATATTGAAAGAAACATGATCAAGTAAACCTTGCAGTCATGAATTTCATGGGCCAAGGGGAGTTTATGTTGGTTTTGTTAGTCTCTGGTAAACTGTCATGCCACCCAAAGGACATCTGAAATAGTTTACACCCCAGGTTCTTACACAGAGGATTCTTGCTGAATAATTGTGCTTATCTGATGAATTGTTATCTGAATCAAAAGCTTCAGGCACAGAGAAATGACAGATGCCAATGAATAATGCCAAAGCCAAATGCCTAATAAGACAGCATTATCCAACAAAATAATTAACTTCCATCATTCTTTTTAAAAACCTACTTTTTCTCTAGGCACACAGGCATACGTGCTAAAAATGGATCTAACAAGTTCAAGTCACACACACAAAGTTGATAATTCACATACAATAAGAATAAAATTACTGACGCTCTTTGCGATGAGGCAATGCATAAGATAGATTCCAGCCCTAAAAGCAAACATTGAAATCAGCACATGGTATCCAGTGAAGTGCCAATGATAGTTTTGTTAACATAAGCAACAGAAGAAAAGCAGCAATTTTGATGCACCATGTAAATGGTCAAATTCTGTACTAAACACACGCATGCTCACACACATACACACAAAGCTTCTCTGAGTACAGAGCTACTTCTTTCAAAATCAGTGAAAACAGCTCTGTGCCTGGTAGACCTTGTTTGCCTGCAGAGGAGAGCACAAATTTGGCTGAATAAGACTAAACAACACTGATCAAAGGATAGAAAAATATTTTTGCCTGCATATCTGACAGCATGTTTTTAGCCAGCAGCATTTTACCTTAACATGGCCTCATGGGAAGTCTGAACTCGCAAGAAATTAGTCATTCGCAGTGCCAACCACACCGTGGACCCTCAATTAATATTCATGCATGAAAAAATAGGGGCATACTTCAAGATCTATACTTTTTAAATAAAAATTTATATTCTTTTTGCCTATAAATGGACTTCAAAAAATTAATATTACAAAAATGGCTCAAATAGGGTTTTAGAATATTTTTTGAATAAGTCCCAGTACTGTAATGTAACAAGCCTCACACTGGGAACTCAAGAGTGGGGACTCCCGCCTTGCTGGGCCAGCAACTTGCTCTGTTATGTCTCAAACCCCTCAACCTCTCATGAGCCTTAATTTCCTTATCTTACTCATCTTTTCCTTGCTTACATCACAGAGTTATTCTGAGAAATAAAATAAACATACTGTGTGACAATTAGAAGTGTTATATGAACAAAAGGTATTATTGTCATCACGTTTTATTCAAAGTAATACAGCCACAGGAATTGCACAAAAATACATGGATATTCCTGGATAATTTCACTTTACCTCAACTCTTTCTCAGCATCTCCTCTCAGATCAGGCCAATTAACATTTCTCCTGGATAATGTTAATACAAATTAATAATTTATAGTTGTGGAGTCAATATCTCAGTACTTGAATCACATTCTCTTCAAAAAATGCACTAACTCTGGCTTGGCTCTGGGTCCCCACCCAAATGTCATGGTGAAGGGTGACTGGATCATGGGGTCAGATTTCCCCCTTCCTGTTCTTGTGATAGCGAGTACTACACACTTTTGGTTGATCTGGTTATTTAAAAGTGTGTAGCACTTCCCCCTTTGCTCTCTCTCTCCTGCAGCCATGCGAAGACATGTCTCCTTCCTCTTCACCCTTCAGCCACAATTGTAAGTTTCCTGAGACCTCCCCAGTCATGCCTCCAGTACAGCCTATGAAACTACGTGCCAATTAAACCTCTTTTCTTTATAAATTACCCAGTCTCAGGTAGTTCTTTATAGCAGTGTGAGAAAAACAAACATACTCTTATAAATCTCTCAAGTAATATATGCTGCATTCAAATTGTCCATTGGTAAACCAAGTTCACACACATGCTGAAAGAATTATTGGCCTGTCACAATACTTAGGTTGCAATGAGAAAAAGACTGTGTCTGCGTAAATGGCCACAGAACTACTCTGACAATAACACTCAGTCAGACTAATTCACCATGTGCTATGCTCTCAGTCACCAAAACTGAAAGCTGGAAAACCAGGTCTGTAGTGTATCCTGCCACTATATGTGTAGGCTGAAGATGCAAAGACCTTAGGAAATGTAGGATACTTTTAGAGAGCTTTTTTTTTTTGTGTATATTTTGCTCTTCAGTTATATTTTATATTTTGTCCTTAAACACTAAGGGGGATAGTTTTCGCTAAACTTTATCTTTTTTTTTTGCACTTTTAAAGATTCATTTTTGTGACTTTTATGACATAATAAACCTGCACAAGTGTTTTTATCACTCTAAATTGGCAAAGTAACTTGATACATACTTGTCTGTCATAAAGTTATCTTAAAATAATTAATACACAGTATTTCCATTTTCCCCAAGGTTTTCATTATTCCACAAATGAGAAATTCTCACATTTGCAATTTTACTTTTGGGTCATTAAAAAATAGAGAAAAGCAAGCACTGCTGTTAAATATTAGGCGCCTTTAGGGGAAGTGGTAGTAATGTGGAAGGAGCATTAAAGGGATTCTGAGGGACCAATAATACATATTTCTTAATATTTGTGGTAGTTACATGGATCTGTTTATTTTATAATAATTCATTAAGCTTCTCTCATATAATAATGTGTATATTTTTCTTTATATATATGTAAATAAAAACATTAAAAATTGCATAGAACATAGAAATTTTGAAAATTTGTATCTCAATACTATGCTAATCCTATATTCATGAAATTTTCAGTTTTGCAGATAAAATGTAGACACAACCACAGAAATATATCTTTTCTTTTCCTTTTGCTTTTACTAAAAAATAAAAATCTTTATACAAACTACCAAGCAAAGGATGTCAATACTGGAAATTAATTTGAAATCTGTACATGTAAAACCATTGTGGAAGCCTGTCATAAAAGTTCTAAATTAGTGCAAAACCATTGTCTTCTTTGCCTCGGTAAACAAAAATTTTCTGTAATTAGGGAAATACCTCTGTATCTCCCAGTATGTCAGAGAAAGTAATTATTTCCTTTATTTTATAATTTCAAATTTTATTTTAGATTCAAGTGGTACATACATAGGTTTGTTACATGGGTATAGTGCATGATACTGATGAATGATCCCATCAACCAAATAGTGAGCACAGTACCCAATAGGTAGTTTTTCAGCTCTATCCCCTTCCCCTTCTTCCCCTTCTAGTAGTCTTCAGTGTCTAATTTTCCCATTTTTATGTCCATTTGTACCCAGTGGACATATGGACTATCAATAAGAATATGCAGTATTTTTGGTTTTGTTCCTGCATCATTTCATTTAGGATGATGGCCTCCATCTGCAACCACGTTGCTGCAAAGGACATGATTTTGTTCTTTTTATGGCTGCATAATATTCCATGGTATTTCACAGTATATGGAAAATATTTTCTTTATCTACATTTTCTTTATTCAGGCCACTGATAATGGGCACCTAGTTTGATTCCATGTCTTTGTTACTGTGAATAGTACAGTGACGAACAAATGAGTGCATGTGTCATTTTGGTAGAATTTGTTTTCCTTTGGGATAGTAATGGGATAGCTGGATCAAATTGTAGCTAAGTTCTTTGAGAAGTCTCCAAACTGCTTTCCACAGTGACTGAACTCATATACTTTTCCAACAACATTATATAAGTCTTCCCTTTTCTCTGCAGTGTCATCATCATCTGCTATTTTTTGTCTTTGCAATAATAGTCATTCTGATTAGTGTGAGATGATATTTCACTATGGTTTTTACTTTCATGTCTCTGATGATTAATGGTATGGAGCATTTATTCATACTTTTTTTGGTTCTTTGTATGTCTTCTTTTGAGAAGTATCTGATCATGTCCTTTGCCCACTTTTTAATGGGGTTATCTGGTTTTTTGTTATTGAGTTCTTTAAGATACTTTTGGATTTTAGATATTAGACCTTTGTCAGATGCATAGTTTGCAAATAATTTCTCTCACCCTGTGTGTTGTTGTTTAATTTTCTGATAGTTTCTTTTGTTGTTCAAAAGCTATTTAGTTTAGTTAGGTCTCACTTGTTTTTTGTTTTGTAGTAATTATTTTTGAGGAAGGACTTAGTCATAAATTATTTGCCAGGACTAATGTCCAAAAAGACATTTCCTAGAATTTCTTCTAGGATTTTTATAGTTTGAGGTCTTACACTTAAATATTTAATCCATCTCGCATTAATTTTTATATATGGTTCAAGATAGGGGTCTAGTTTCATTCTTCTGCATATGGCCAGCAAGCTATTCAAGTATCACTTATTGAATAGAAAGTTCTTTCCCCATTGCTTATTTCTGTTGACTTTGTTGAAGATCAGACAGCTGCAGGTATTTGGCTTGATTTCTAGGTTTTCTATTCTGTTCCTTTGGTGTATATGTCTGTTTTTGTACCAGTACAATGTTGTTTTGGTTACTGTAGATTTATAACATAGTTTGAAGTTGGGTCATATCATGCCTCAAGCTTTGTTCCTTTCGCTTAGGATTGCTTTGGCGATTCAAGTTCCTTTTTAGTTTTATGTGAATTTTAGAATAGTTTGTTTCTAATTCTATGAAAAATAATATTGATAGTTTGATAAGAACAGGGTTGAATCTATAGATTGCTGTGGGCAGTATTGCTATTTTAATATTAATTTTTCAAATTCATGAGCATGGAATGTTTTTTCATTTGTGTCATCTATGACTTCAGCAGTGTTTTGTAGTTCTTCTTGTAGAGATCTATCACCTCCATGACTGGATGTATTCCTAGGTATTTTATATATTTTTGTGGCTTTTGTAAGTGGGATTGCATTCTTGATTTAACTCTCAGATTGAATGTTATTGGTGTAGAAATCCTACTGATTTTTGTACATTTGTTTTGTATGCTGACACTTTCCTGCAGTTGTTTATCATGTCTAGGAGCCTTTTGGTGGAGTCTTTTGGGTTTTCTAGGCATATAATCATATTATCAATAAAGAGAGATAACTTGACTTCTTTTCCTATTTGGATCCCTTTTAGTTATTTCTCTTACCTGATTGCTCTGTCTAGGACTTTCTGTACTTTGTTGAATAGGAGTAGAAATCCTTGTCTAGTTCCTATTACTATTCTTTTTTTTTTGAGACTGTGTCTCACGCTGTCACCCAGGCTGGAATGCAGTGGCTTGATCTTGGTTCACTGCAATCTCTGCCTCCCAGGCCCAAGTAATCCTCACACCTAAGCCTCCCAAGTAGCATGGGACCACAGGAAACATGCTCAGCTAATTTTTGCATTTTTTTTTTGTAGACATGGGGTTTCACCATGTCACCAAAGCTGACAGTTCCTATTCTTAAAGAGAATGCTTTCAACTCTTGCCCATTTAGTATGATGTTGGCAATGGGTTTATCACTGATGGTGCTAGTTATTTTGAGACACATTCTTTCAATCCCTAGTTTGTTGAGGGTTTTTATCATGAAACGATGTTAGAGTTTATTGAAAGCTTTCTCTGCATCTATTGAGATAATCATATAGGTTTTGTTTTTATTTCCATTTGTGTGGTTAATCACATTCATTGATTTGTGTATGTTGAACCAATCTTGCATCCCAAGAATGAAGCCTACTTGATTGTGGGAAATTGACTTTTTGATGTGCTGCTTCATTTGGTTTGCTAGTATTTTATTGAGGATTTTTTGTGTCTATGTTTATTAGGGATACTGGCAAGTGGTTTTATTTTTTCATTGTGTCTTTGCCAGGTTTTGGTACTATGGCGAGGCTGGTTTTGTATAACCAGTTAGGGAGAAGTCTCTCTTCCTTGATTTTTTAGAATGGTTTCAGTATAATTGGTACCAGCCCTTCTCTGTACAACTTATACAATTCAGCTGTGAATCTGTCTCATCCAGGGCATTTCGGGGGTTGGTAGGTTTTTTATGACTGATTTCATTTCAGAACTCAATATTGGTCTGTTTAAGATTTCACATTTGCCCTGATTCAATCTTGAGAAGTTGTGTGTTTCTAAGAATTTATCCATTTCTATACATTTTTTAGTTTGTATGAATAGAGTACACACTCAACATTAGAACACCAAGATATATAAAACAAGTACTTCTAGACCTACAAAAAGACTTAGGTAGCCACACAATAATAGTGGGAGACTTCAACATCCCACTGACAGTGTTAGAGAGGCCATCAAGGCAGAAAGCTAACAAGGAAATTCTGAACTTAAATCTGACACTTGACCAATTGGACCTAATAGACATCTACAGAATATTCCATCCATCAACCACAGAATATATATTCTTCTCATCTACACATGCAACATACCCCAGGATTACCACATGCTAAGCCATAAAGCAAGTCTCAATAAATTAAAAATTGTACCAACCATACTGTTGGGCCATAGTGGAATAAAAATAGAAATCAATACCAAGATATCACACCATTACATGAAAATTAAACAACTTCCTCTTGAATGGCTTTGGGAAAACAACTTGAGATAAATGAAAACAGAAACAATTATTTGAGATAAATGAAAACAGAAACATGTCATTCCAAAATTTCTGGGATGTAGCAAAAGCAATGTTAAGAGGAAAGTTTATAGCAATAAACACCTACATCAAAAAGTTAGAAAAATCTCAAATTAACATTCTAATATAATACCTAGAGGAATCAGAAGAACAGTGACAAACTAACCCCAATGCTAGCAGAAAAAATTAAGTAACTAAAATTAAAGTAGAACTGAACAATATTGAAATCCAAAAATCCATATGAATAATTAATAAAATAAAAAGTTGGTTTTTTGAAAGGATAAACATGATTGATAGATTGGTAACGGATTAACA